CTAAAAATATTAAAATTAAGAATTATAGATAAACATGAAAATGATTTTAATTATGAAAATGTAACTGAAGTTGCAAATTTATGAAATATTTGCATAAATGACGACGTGCTATTCGACGAATACAATTAGTCAACAAGATAATAACAAAAATCGAAATTAAGAATGATACAGTGGAAAAAAATGGGTACGAAGTTTTAATAATGTAGACATATTGAACTATTAAAAGTTTTAGAATATACATATATATAGCAGTTAATAATACAATAAATTCTCTCTAATTGACGCTCAGATTGTACACAAAAATGGACAATTTGAGAAGAGGAGATAGAATTATTCAAGCATTACTGCTCATTTTTATAGTGTTGACAATCCGTAACTATAAGAACGAGCCACAGGGCTCGAATAATCGTATCTCCTCTTCCCAAATTGTTCATTTTTGTGTACAATCTGAGCGTCAATTAGGGAGAATTTATTGTAGTTATATCGAAGGAATCTTTTGGATAATGAAAAATGTTTAAAGCGACGAAAGGAACAGAATGCGGATAAGCTTAATAATAGTCGGTACAAAATTAAATTATTACATGAACTGTAACTAATTTTACTAGCTTTCGACGAAACCAGAACAGAAAAATTCAAAAACAAAGTTTTAAAAAGATTTACTACTTCACAATAAATGTCAAGTATTTATAAGTTTATATTTAAAAAAGGTTGTTAAATTTTCATTAGTCTTTTTTTACGTATTATAATTAAAAAATTACGTTTTCTTCAGAACTTCGTATATTTCTATTTTTTTAAATTAAAAATTTTCTGTAATAAATAATTTTCAATTAATTTTGATCCTTTTTTTGTTCTGTTTTTACTTTTGCAATCTTCGGATGACAATTCGTTATATTCCGGTGTCATGCTCAGCGTTACTGATAGTTCACGAATTTAGGTACGTTAGCAAGAAGCGAATATCTTATATAAAAATTTCTACTACGAGTGTTAAATATTATGTGGAGACAATAAGTATATTAGGTGCGAACATTTAAATGGTGGAAATTGTATTTATAAAAGATGTACTAGAGAAATATAATATAAAGTATAATTACTTTTATGGACAGTTGAGTATTTCTAATAATTATATGATTAGAGATGGTATATAGGAATATTTTTATACATTGTTTCTTGCAGAGGGGTATTTAGGGGTGTAGCATACTTTTTTAGAACTTGAGGAATGACAGTTTAAGATATTTTATGTTTCATATTTATTTTTATGTATCTTTCATTTTGTAATACTAGCTTTCGAATAGTGATAGAAATGTTGTTTTATTATACACTATACTTAGTTTGTATTGACGTTTTATTAATTTTTATTAATATGCACACATAATTTATTAACGTTTCTTCTAGAGATAAAAAATCATTTCAATAACGATTTGAATAAAAAATATATCTTTATTTGACGAGTATCGAATAAATAATTTTATGTCATGGGAATTTATTCCTAGTGATGAATAAAATTTGCATCTTTAATCTATATCTTTATTCGAAGGTTTCAAATAAATTGTCAAATAACTTTTGTCAGCCTGAATGTAAATGACGTTGCTGAGTTTCGAACGTCAAAGACCGTCAAAGATCA